TGACAGTGTGTCCAGCAGGGATAAATCAGAGAATCAGGGAATGGTTTGGCTTGGGAGGGACCTCAAAGCCCATCCAGTGTCACCTCCCACTGTCCCAGGCTGCTCCAGGCCCTGTCCAGCCTGGCCTTGGGCACTGCCAGGGATGGAGAATCCAGTACTGACCTCAATATGAAACAATTTAACTGCATTTCCCTCTGTTTTTACCATTTTTACAGCTGTTCCTTGCCCAAAACTTCCTCAAACGGGAGGGGTAACAATAGCCTGGCTTTCTTTGTAGAGATGTAAATAAAACAACAGCTTTTATTGAATCATTCAATATTGGCAAGGAAAAAGGATGATTTGGGATTTGTGGCTACACAGATTGCCAGGGAATTTCCCCAGAATTTGTCACATGTTAAAAAAAAATAAAAAGCTGGGGGTTTTACTTGGAACTCTCCATTGATTTTCTGTAGCCTGAAGTGAATCTCCTTTTTTTTGTCCCCAGGATAAATGCTGTATCAAATGCACAGGTGAGAGGAGACAGCTACAGTGATGGATGCTTAGGAAGAACAGGTAAATGAACTCTACAAATCCTGCTCAGGTGAAGGACTGATCATTTATCTCTGGGGATTTTCCCAAGTGGAAGTGAAAGAAATCATCAGAAGATAAGGAGTAGGAGAGAATTTCTGTGAATTAATTTCTTTACAGAATTAACCTTTGGAGATAAGTGCTGGCTTTGTTAAAAAGGGAACTTGGTGAAATTCAGCTTCTGGATGTCTTGGCTTCCTAAACCTTCCCTGCAAAAGCTGGATAGCTGCTGGGAGAAATCAGTTCCTGCCTGGGGGTAGCTCTGGAGCAGGAATTCCCTAGGGATGTGTCAGAAACATTTCCAGTTCCTCTGTGTCACTGCTCTGAGTGTCCCTGGACCTGCTGTCCTCTCTGCTTCCATTCATAATTCCCTATTTCCCACATGGATCCCAGCAGCCTTTTCCATGGGATTTGTACATTTGGAGGGAGTTAACTGCTATTTGAAGTGGCCTGTGGTGTTTCTTTTGTGTGTCATTCATCATCCAGCTCCTGAGAACGTTTGCACAGGAATTTTTCCTTCCCAGTGACTGAGAAGTGGATTTTGTCCTTGATCCTTGGGTTTAACCCTTTCAATTCATGCCCTTAGTGAGATCATGTATTCCATCCTCCCAGAGGAGCAGCTGGATTGCCTGGCCCTGAGGATAAAATCCACATTTCACTCTCCCCTGCAGGGGCTCGGATCTGGCTCTTCATCGGCTTCATGTTGATGTTTGGATCCCTCATTGCTTCCATGTGGATTCTCTTTGGAGCTTATGTCACACAGAGTAAGTTTGGGTATCTTCTCTTCCAGGAAAGTGCTTTTCCTGTCAGCTTTTGGTAGGAAATCCACAGGGATGGAAGCTTGTGGTCTATGGAAAATCCAAGCCACAGCATCCAGGTTTCAGTCTGAGATTGATACTGGAATATTCTGTTAAACCCAGCTCCCAGTAACAGGAATACTCTGTTAAACCCAGTAACTGGAATATCCTGTTAAACCCAGTAACTGGAATATCCTGTTAAACCCAGCTCCCAGTAACTGGAATATCCTGTTAAACCCACCTGCCATGACTAAAGAACTGAGTGTTTCCTGTGTTCCTCCTCTGCAGACACTAATGTGTACCCTGGATTAGCAGTGTTTTTCCAGAATGCATTAATATTTTTCAGGTAAGTGACCTGGGCAATTTCCCCTCCTTCCAAAGGGACTTTCCTGCTTCCACACATTGATCCTCCAGGCAGGGCAGCTGTGTTTTCTCCTCCCTTAGCTGCAGAGCTTAGAAACAAGGTTTGATTTGCCCCTGCCCAGGCTCTTGGCTCCCCCACACTCCTGTTGGTCCAGCTGTCTCTGCTCCCCCTGGATGAACAGCTCTGGAATGTGGATGGCCAGGGATGCACAGAGTTTTCTGGATGAGGGATTGCCAGTGTCTTTGGAAAATGGCAATCATTCACCTCTGTCCTCCAATCCCTTGGTTTCCCTCCCAGCAGAGCCAGCTGGGGGATTCAATTCCCCTGTTCCAGACTATTTCACACCAATGCCTCAGTTCTCTGGTACTTGATATTCCCTGGATTTCCTTTCACTGCCTGAGCTCACTGTTAGAAAGAGTGGTACTTCCTTTTTTGTAGGAGCATGCTGCTGTGTTTTGTAACAGCACACTGGATTTATTTCAAATAATATTATTAAATCTATTGTGTAACAGTTGAAAATCGATTTGGAGTCTCTAATAACTCTTTTTAGCTGTGGAATGCATTTTGCAACCCATGGATTTTATTAATGAAAGGCACTGAAAGTGTTGAACAGTGTCAGTTCTGAGATCAGTCACTGAAAAGTTTCATCTCAGCTCCTTCCAATTCCTGGCTGATCCTTTTCCTTCCAGCCCCACACCAGATGCTTTGCAGTGACCTGGATCGATGGGATCTGGGAAATGAGGGATATTCCTGCAGGGAACAGCAGCTCCTAAATCCCCTCTGGGATTGAAAAGGGAAACTGCTGAAGGCAGATTTTGTGCTTGAAATTTTTAGCCTTATTCAGAATCCCAGGTTTGGGTTGGAAGGGACCTTAAATCCCATCCAGTGTCACCTGGGCAGGGACAACTTCCACTATCCCAGGTGGCTCCAAACCCTGGCCAGCCTGGCCTGGGACACTGCCAGGGATGGGGCAGCCAAAACGTGGAATTTTGGAAATCAAATTGTAATGTGGATCTGATTCTCTACCACAGGCTTGATATTCTTTCTGATTGTTCACAAAAATGGAGTTGTTTAGCTTTCATCCCAGCACATCCTGTCATGTTGAGCTGATTCCCAGGTGCCAGAGTGAGACTTGCTGCTCTGGACTCCTTGAATTTCATAAATCCCAGGCTTTTCCTTCAGAAGGGCTGTGAAACTGGATGGGTTTTTTGTCTGAGCTTCAGTTTGCTCCCACAGTTCCAGCCGTGCACGAGAAACCAAACACAAACACCAAACCCAAATCCTGATGTGACCAAAAGTTCAGGGCTGGGCTGGTGACTTGCACAGGATAAGATTTAAGGATACTGTTAAAATTACCTTGTGTGTGGTCTGATTTTTATTTTATTTCTTGTATTTTCTCCCCCCAGCACTCTGATCTACAAGTTTGGGAGAACAGAAGAGCTGTGGGGCTGAGCTCACTGCTGGCCTGTGCTTAGCATAGTTGCCACGTGGTTCTTGTACGTAGATAATTCACAGTCCTTTGTCCTTGGTTTGCTTCCCAAACTGGTGGAACTGAGACAATTCCAGGCTCTGTCCGAAGCTCCTCTTTTCCCAGGACACACTTGTGAATATGTACATAGGACTGGATCTATCATTTCAAAGGGAATGGCAGGCTGCCAGGCTTTCCTGCTGACATCTCCAGGCTTTCTCCTTCAAATCCACGGCTTTCGATCTTCCAAAGCTCCCCGTGTCCCAGGCTTCAGCCAACAAGTAGTGAGCAAACAGGACAGAGCCCATCCCTGGAGCAGGGGCTGGGATAAGAGCTGATTTTAAGAATTTTATATTATTGTTCAGGTAAATATAAAGTAGCTTTTTTTTTTTTTTTCCTTCTTTTGGTAAAAGGTTATGGGTTTTTAAGCGAGTCCTACACTCAGCAGGTTGTGCATGGCAAAGCAAAGTATTCCTGACTTGTGATGGCTCTGGCACAAAGGACATTTGCTGGCACCACAGTCCTTGGGATTAATTTCATGCTGCTCAGTGTAAGAGATACCAGTTGGTATTTAATGTATTTCCTGATATTAGATTAATAATAATAATAAAAAACCAAAAACCTCCAACAAACTGTTGCCAGTTGTACTCGATATAAAGAATAAATGAGTCAGAGCAATGTCTTGCTGCTGGTGGCAGTGTCAGTGTCTCCAGGGGAAGCTGTTTGCTGATAAATTGAATTCTCCTGACCTCTTCCCTCTCTGCTTAAAAGGTAGTGGGGTATAGATGGATTTATTGCTCAACCTTGTAATAATTTCAATTTTCAATAAATTCTAGCAGTGACTCACACCCAGTTTTAGGGCTGCTGTTGCCCCAGTTAAAATGTATTTATCTCTTACATTTTATGGCTCTTTCCATTAATGAATTATTGAAATCCAGTTTCATCTCAGTGGAGTGAAACAGAAAGTGAGGCTGAGGATGTTTCTTATCCCTGGAGTGTTCCTGTAGATCCATTTGCTGGGGGTGAGTCCTTCTCACGAGTTCTCTGTGGTTTTTACAGCATTTGCCTCTCCCCTGGGCCCCAAGGCTTTTACAGCTCCCCAAATCAAGGCTGCTGCCTCAGTGGTGTCAGGGCTGAGTGGAAATGCAGTGCTGGTGACTGGAAGCTCTTTGTCACCTTCTCCAGGTGGGAATTGCTGCAGGGGCAGGAGCTCTGGAGCTGTCCTGGCTGCAGCAACCCCATCCCCCTGGCTGCAATTCCAGAAAGCTGCAATAAAAGTGAATTCAGATGCCCAAAACAGTGAATTCCCAGGGAAATTGTACAGGAACTCACCTTGGCACAAGGCTTGCACCACCCAGTAAAGCCAGGCTTTGTCTTCAGGCCTGGCAGCTTTCCTTGTCCTGCCCAGGAGCTTGGGAATGTTTGTTGGATTCTTTAGGAAGTCAGGAAGGAGCGTGGCCTGGAACTAATCCTGTAACAACTCCCAGTGCCAGGATCTTGTGCCTGGATTTGGAACTTGAACATGCAAGCCAGGCTGGGAGAGCTGGGGGTGCTCAGCTGGAGAGGAGAAGCTGCAGGGAGAGCTCAGAGCCCCTTGCAGGGCCTGAAGGGGCTCCAGGAAAGCTGGAGAGGGACTGGGGACAAGGGCTGCAGGGCCAGGAGCCAGGGAATGGCTGCCAGGGGCAGGGGACACTTTAAGCTTGGCACAAGCCAAGGGGACAGGGAGGGCTCAGTGACAACAACCCTGGAGTTACTCCCAGAAAACGCTTTTTAATTGTTTGTGTAAAAATATTTAACAAGCCAATCGAGGACAGTGTTTATTCAGGAATGCACACAGGACAGCAGTCCAGGGTTTATTCAGGAATACACACAGATACTCCCAGGAGCTTTTAACTTTATTTCTGGGTGAGTTTGCTTGTTCCTTTTTGTGAGCTGTGCCCTTTGTTCCCAGCCCAGCCTCAGAGTTTGGGTGATTCAAGCAGGCCTGGTGCTGATGTGACCATTCCCACATGAGTCAGCCTTCCCTGAAACTCCCCTGTCAGCAGCCTGGCTGATCCCAAGGGATGAGATCTGTTTTAAGGAACCTGATGAAGCTTTTGGAAAGGCTGCTGGAAAGGCTGAGACAGTGGCACCAGCTTTGCCAGGGCCACTTCCAAACCAGCCACTTCCAAACAAAAAAACCACATTTCTTACTGCTTATTTTTAAACAATTCATATCAATTTTCTGGTATCAAACCCAGGAAAAAAACCCAAAAAACAAACCAAACAACTCCATCTTTTTACTACAGAAGAGGTTCATTTGTTCTTTGTGCTTTATTGGACACTCCAGCCCCCACTGGGGGTGATGTGGGGTTTAACTTGGGCTCTTCTGCTTTAAGGCACTAAAACCAGAAAACTCTGAGTCAGCTCCTGCTGGTGTCAACAGGAGCTTTTAGTGTGTGACAGTGACTGATACAGGCTGTAAAAAACTCGGAGCAAAATTCTTCTCAGGTCCTTTGTGGCGTGCAGGGCCCTGGGCTGGCTGCAGGAGCAGATTAATGCTTGCAGGAGGCAGATACGAGCAGACCTCTCTGGGAGGGGTTCTTGGCACAGGCTCATCCCAAGGAAAGTACCTACAAATTTCTTTATAATTTGTGCTGCACTTGAAATGATTCAGGAAAGCAGACTGGAGTGGGTAGAATGGGAGTATTATTGCAAAACCAGCAGAATGGAATTTACACCGCAACTCTTCGCTCCCTGAAAAGTCCCAGGTTATCCCACATCAATAAAGTGCTATTATTCCTCCAAGCTGGGGTGGGAATTTCCCCCTTTTATCCACCTGTCTTCAGGCAGTTTAGTGTTCCTTTCCTTTCCCTTCCACACTCCCTCTTCCCAGTGCCTTTGGCAGAGCGAGGAGTTGGGGGAGCCGGGCAGAGGCCCCTGGAGCATCAGGATCCGTGTTCAGGATTGTCCTGTGATCCCAGGATCTCTGTTCAGGATTATCCTGTGATCCCAGGATCTGTGTTCAGGATTGTCCTGTGATCCCAGGATCTGTGTTCAGGATTATCCTGTGATCCCAGGATCCGTGTTCAGGGCTGTCCTGTGATCCCAGGATCGGTGTTCAGGATTGTCCTGTGATCCCAGGCTCCCTGTTCAGGGCTGTCCTGCCAGCAGCCATGGGAGCAGCCTCTGGCCAGTCCTGGGGCAGGTGACACTCACTGGGGTGTCCCCTCAGTGTCCCCCCTGTCCCTGGCACTCACTGGGGTGTCCCCTCAGTGTCCCCCCTGTCCCTGGAGGTGTCGGGTGAAGGATCCTCATCCTCCAGGCCACTTCCTTCTCCAACCACCAGGGCCTGGGGCTCCTCCTCAGCAGGACTGTACAGCTCCAAGCCAGACAAGCCAGGGTCCCTCAGGAACTGGAAAAAACCACAAAACACCAGGTTTAGCTCCCTGTTAGAAACCCCAGAGCCAACAAATTGTTCCAGCCCAGAACCCACAGCAGGCGCTGCTACCTGGATATTCCATCCTGGATTCCTTGAGACTACACTAAACAAAGAAAATGTGTCAAAAACCCCTTAGTTCTGTGGGGGAAAAGAAATAAATTACCCCTCCAATACCCCTTCAAGTGAGGTAAAGCAGCTGCAATTCCTGGTTGGGTGTTTGGTTGTTGTTTTTAAATAAATTTTGGGCAATCTTTCCATGCCAGTGGGAGCTGCAGCTTCTGCTGTCACCAGCAATCCTGACATTCTGCCCATGCAGCCACCCTTGACTTCCCCTTCCCTCCAAAACTCACTCAGCAGCTCTCCAAGGGCAATAAATCAAACATCCCTTTTTTTCCCTTCTTCTCTTATCCCAGGCTGATCCTGTTTAGAGATTCACATTATAAACATCCTGCCAGACTTTCTTTTCCTGTCCCAGGCTGATCCTTTTTAGGAATTCACTTTATAATCATCCTCCCAGATCCCTTTTCCTCCTTCTCCTATCCCAGGCTGATCCTTTTTAAAAATCCACATTTTAAACACTCTGCCAATTCCCTTCTTTTCCTATCCCAGGCTGATCCTGTTTAGAAATTCACATTATAAACATCCTGCCAGTTCCCTTTTCCTCCTTCTCTATCCCAGGCTGATCCTTTTTAGGAATTCATTTTATAATCATTCTCCCAGATCCCTCCTTTTCCTTCTTCTCCTATCACAGGCTGATCCTTTTTAGGAATTCACTTTATAAACATCCTGCCAGATCATTTCTTTTCCTATCCCAGGCTGATCCTGTTTAGAAATTCACATTATAAACATCCTGCCAGTTCCTTTTTCCTTCTTATAAACATCCTGCCAGTTCCTTTTTCCTTCTTCTCCTATCCCAGGCTGATCCCTTTCAGAAATCCACATTTTAAATACTCTGCCAATTCCCTTCTTTTCCTTCTTTTCCTGTTCTAGGCTGATTCCTTTTAGAAATTCACATTTTAAACACTCTGCCATTTTGCTGGCAGTGTCCTGCCCCATCCCAGGCCCTGCTGTGCAGGAGGATCCACTTTTGCTGCTCATTAATCTGGAAAATTCCCCAGAGCACAGGCTGAGCCTCAGGCCTTGCAGGTCCTTTGCACTGTTTGAATATCCTGAATAATTCCTTTTTTTATTATTATTTTAATACCCAGAACAATTGTTTTTATTATTAACACCCTGTACAGTTATTTTTGAAAGTATTTTAAAACCCAGAAAATATTTTTTTAACTATTTACCCAGAAAATATTTTTTTAACTATTTTAATACCCCCATACAAGGACTTTCTTAATATTTTATTACCATCTACAAGGATATTATTATTATTATTATTATTATTATTATTATTATTATTATTATTATTATTATTATTATTATTATATCATCATTATTATAATTATTACTATTATTATCATTATCATCAGAGAAAGGAATTTTTTACTATTTTAATACCCTATACAAGGATTATTTTATTATTATTAATAACCTGCACAAACATTTTTTTTACTACATTAATACTCTGTACTAAGATTTTTTTTACTGTTTTCATACCCTGTACAAGGATTTTAAAGTTATTATTATTTCAGTACACTGTACAAGGATATTTTACTATTTTATCATACTCACAAGCATTTTTTTACTCTTTTAATACCCTGCACAATTATTTTTTAATTTTAATACTTTGTATATGATGAATTTTTTAGTTCTTTTAACACCCTACACAATTATTTTACTGTTTTAATACCCCACACAAGGATTTTTTACTAAATTAATACCCTGTACAAAGACTCTTTTTACTATTTAATACCCTGTATGAGGATATTTTACTGTTTTAATATACTCACAGGGATTTTTTTACTCTTAATACCCTGCACAATTGTTTGTTAATTATTTTAATATCTTCTACAAGGAGTTTTTAATTATTTTAATACTGTAAACAATTTTTTTACTATTTTAATACCTTGCACAAGGATTTTTTTACTATTTTAATACCCTGTATAAGGAAATTTTATATTTTAATATAATTACATGGATTTTTTTATTATTATTATTTTAATCATTGCACAAGGATTTTTTTTCTTTATTTTAATACCTTGCACAAGGATTTTTTTTACTATTTTTCCCTGTACAAAGATATTTTACTATTTTAATATAATTACAAGGATTTTTTTTTTACACTATTTTAATAATTGCAAAAGGATTTTTTTCTTTATTTTAATACCTTACACAAGGAGTTTTTTACTATTTTAATATAATTACAAGGATTTATTTTTTTACTATTTTAATCATTGTGTAAGGATTTTTTCTTTATTTTAATACCCTGCACAAGGATTTTTTTTTCTTTATTTTAATACCTTGCACAAGGAGTTTTTTACTATTTTACCCTGTACAAAGATATTTTACTATTTTAATATAATTACAGGGATTTATTTTTTACTATTTTATTCATTGCACAAGGGTTTTTTTTCCTTATTTGAAGACCCTGCACAAGGAATTTTTTTTTATTTTAATAGCTTGCACAAGGAGTTTTTTCCTTTATTTTAATACCTTGCACAAGGAGTTTTTTACTATTTTAATCATTGTGTAAGGATTTTTTTCTTTATTTTAATATCCTGCACAAGGATATTTTTTCTTTATTTTAATACCCTGCACAAGGATATTTTTTCTTTATTTTAATACCTTGCACAAAGATTCTTTTTTGCCATTTTAACCCAATACACATGGATTTTTTTTCCTTAAATGAGATGCACTTCACTTGACAAGTGACCCCTATGAAATGCCAGCTGAGGAAACACAAAGACAGAAAATTATTTACTCTGGCTACAAAACCCTGGGAATTCCCTTCCAGAACCACAGGACTGTGACAGAAACAAAATATTCACCTCCACGAGCTGCACACAAATAAAAACTTTAAAAAATTTTATGCTGAATAGGAACTTTTATATCAAAACTTTGCTTAGAGGCTGCTTCTTGTGCCAGGATAAAAGAGGAAGATGAGCAGGACTGAAACCACTGGTTTAGCTCAGAAATGTCTGAGCTACCAGCAGGAAAATGCCCCAGGGTGAGATTTTCATCTCAGTCCTGCTAAAAAAACAAAAGAGGAACTGCCCAGGAACGTCCCCTTGAGATCATCCTGAGGCGTCAAAACAAGCAATCCAGGTTTGTAAATTCAAAATAATCTGATTTTGCTTTTCCAGATCCTATTCCTGCCTCCAGTCCTTGTGCCACAAAAGCTCTGTGGCCCCAGTGAGCCCCGGTTTGAGGCTGAGAGGAGCAAGGGAAGAACAGGAAGCAGGATCAGCCAGGCTTTTCCAGGAAAGCACAGCCAGGGTTGTGTCCCAGGGCACAGGAAAGACCCTTGAGCTCAGAAAAGAGGAAAGAAGTGGGAGATGACAATCAGAAAAGGCACATTTTGACACATCACGTGTTTATTTCTGTTCAGCAGCAACTGCTTTTGGTGATGTTCCCCACGAGTTTCTCTTCCACAGGAGAAGCCCTGAAGGTCCCCACATACCTCCCTGAAGTGTGATGGGATTTGCAGGGGGGGCTGAGCCCAATATTTGATTTTTTGGTGGTACTTCCACAGAAGCAGCAAAGCATATGTCACTGGGGGCACGAAGAGTAAGGCCAGGACAAACAGGAGGATGATGTGCACAGCTTGGGTTGCCTCTGGAAAAGAAGGAAGAACATCCAGATACATATGGCAGGTTCATATTTATGGAATTATGGAATGGGTTTTGTTGGGAGGGACCTTAAAGCTCCCCCCCAGCCATGGCAGGGACACCTCCCACTGTCCCAGGTGCTCCCAATGTCCAGCCTGGCCTTGGGCACTGCCAGGGATCCAGGGGCAGCCCCAGCTGCTCTGGCAATTCCATCCCAGCCCCTGCCCACCCTGCCAGGGAACAATTCCTGCCCCAGATCCCAAGATCCAGCCCTGCCCTCTGCCCCTGGCAGCCATTCCCTGGCTCCTGGCCCTGCAGCCCTTGGCCCCAATCCCTCTCCAGCTCTCCTGGAGCCCCTTCAGGCCCTGCAAGGGGCTCTGAGCTCTCCCTGCAGCTTCTCCTCTCCAGCTGAGCACCCCCAGCTCTCCCAGCCTGGCTGCAGCCCTGGGATCAATCCATGATCCCATTTTACAGCAGGATTATGAAGGAAAAGGAGAAAGGGCCGGGTACCACCCAGACCTTCCATCCCTGGCTGAAAATCCCTGATTCTTTTGCCACTAATGCCAAGGGTGAGCTCCTCGTGGTGCTCTCAGCATTCCTGACAGGAATTCCCCTGGAAAGGACCAGTCCAGGTGACCCAGGACTTGTGTTCCACCCCATCCCACTCCAGACAAAAATCCCATTCCCATTCCATACCACTGAGGGCAGTTCTGTGACACTCTGGGACACTTTGCTGTCCCTCTAAGAAGTGACCTGAGTAGATCTTCAGCTGCACTTGAACACTGAAGCAATAAAGTGTTGATTCCTTTAGATTTCCAATCTGGAATAGTGTCTTGCTTTCACTTAGCTTCTGTTGAAAAGACACACACAACATAAAAAAAAAAAGGTGTTACTGTAAAATCCAGACTGGTTTTCAACACAAATATCCCTCTCCTCATTTAAGTTTCTCATTCAAGAAGCCCAGATTTTATTTTTCCTCACTCAGCTTTCCCAAATAACAGAAGCAGTGGAATAATTCAGTTTTTTCTGGGAGTTTTGAGGCAGCTTTTGCAGGGAGCAAAACCCAGGGAAGGGGAAAAATGAAACCACTCTGATTCCTTTCCTGGTTCTGAGCAGAAGGTGCTCTGTGTGTGAGAAAAACACACATTGCTGCAAGGCAGGAAGGAAGTGGAAACAATTTACCAATTTACCCAAGGCTTTGAAGCAAAAGGAGGTTTTGAAGAAATTACTTTTTTTGCTTCTGTTTTTTTAAGTGTTTGACTTCAGACTGACGTCATTTAGAAGATTCTTCCTCTTTTTATTTAATTTGGGTTTTTTTTTTAAGCCAGACTCAGTATCTCCCCTGAACCTCTGGGGCACAGGCAGCACATGATGATCCCAAAAACTCTTGAGCCTCAGGATGAACAGGACCAGCTCATCCCAGCTCATCCCAGCTCATCCCAGCTCATCCCAGCATCTTCCTGGCAAAAACCTCCTCTGCCTGCCCTGGGATCAGGCACATCAGGCCCCAGCACAGCAAAAGGAGGAGGGAGATTCCAGAGTTTTCCAAACTGCCTGAGCAAACTGTGGAATCAAAAGTCACCTTTGGCACCAGTTCTCTCCCTGGATCTGCAGAGGGGTTTAATCCCTTTCCACCCAAAGGAAAGGTTTCCAGGTCTGGTGGTGCAGCAATCCTTTTCCCAGGAGCCCACCTGGTGACCCTGGCTGGACACAAAATCCAGGGATTTTCTGCCCCCATCTGCTGTCCTGCCAAGGGACATTGACCCCCATCCCTCAGTCCCCAGGCAGGAAGGACAAACTGGGGACAATCCTTACTTGTTTTACAGCACTGGTTGTGTTCTCCCAGTAGGACACGTGGTACTGGATGAGGTCCCCAGGCTCGGGGGTGAAGGGGGGGCTGATGCTGAGGAGCAGAGAGTCGGGGCTGCTGCTCACACTGTTCACCTTGGGGGGGCCCAGAGTGGCTGAAAGCAAACAGAGAGAGCAGGGAATCCCTGGGCTGCACAGCTGGCTCCAGCTCCACACAATCCCTGCATCCCTGAGCCCTCGCAGCCCAGGGAATCCCAGCTGTGCCCGATGCCCACCTCGTCCCCAGCCCAGAGCCCTGAGTGCCACGTCCAGCCCTTCCTTGGGCACCTGCAGGGATGGGCACTGCAAAGCTCCCTGGGCAGCCCCTGCCAAGGCCTGAGCTCCCTTTCCATGGGCAAATTCCTGCTGCTGCCCACCCTGAGCCTCCCCTGGCCCAGCCTGAGGCCTGAGCTCTCCTCCTGTCCCTGTTCCCTGGCAGCAGAGCCCGACCCCCCCGGCTGTCCCCTCCTGCCAGGGACTTGTGCAGAGCCACAAGGGCCCCCTGAGCCTCCTTTGCTCCAGGCTCAGCCCCTTTCCCAGCTCCCTCAGCCCCTCCTGGGGCTCCAGCCCCTTCCCAGCTCCGTTCCCTGCCCTGGACACTCTCAGCAAACAGCTCAAACATCAACAGCTTTTGTTCATGAAAGGGAAATCATTTCCCCATCTACTTCATGCATTTACAGTATTTGCTTAACTTTTCCTGGCAATTCAATAAATATTAACCAAAAGTAAATGCATGGAAACATCTCAGTTGATCTGCAGTTACTGGCCATAAAATCATTATCTTTCAATCTTCCATGCTCCCCAAAACCCCACTGTCTGCTCCCTAGATGGGAAGAGGAAAAAGGAGTTTTCCCCTCCTTGATTTGATGTCCCCATGTGCCCATCAGGATAACCATGGTGACATTCTGTGAAGTGCCCCAGGCTGTAAATCATGGAAAACCCCGAGAGTGCTCTCAGGAGTGTTCATTAACAGCAAAAATCACTCCTTGCATGCACCAGTTCCTCACTGTGCCTCAATTCCAGCCACTCTGATCTGAGCACCAAAGGAGCAGCCATGGAGTTGGTTTTTGGGAGCTGACACAAGAACGGTCCCATTCCTCCTCTCCCACCCCAAGCCTCTGCCTTGTCCCACACTCCTGAGGATCCCACTCCCAGTCCTGTGGGACAACACAGACACTCAACACTAGACACCAGGAAACCCAATCAGTCAAAATAGCTTTTTGTGAATTGCTGTGTTACCAGCCCTTCAAATTCCTTCTGCAGGTGAGATTTGCTGTCCATATTCTTAGGGAGAGGAGGAAAGGGAGTTTTATCAATGGCTTACACTAAGAGAATTGTACAATATTCATTTTTTGGTCTTGAAAGGCAATCTTCCTAGACAAGTGACTAAAAACTTGTGCTTTATTATCAGGAGACCCATCCTTCCAGCTCAAAGTCCCCCAGCCAGTCCTGGGTGAAATACAAACCAGGAAAAGCATTCCTGCACTGTCTGTTGGGGTGGGTTAGGTGATTCCCCCTTGCTTCCCCCAGGTTCCCCATCAGTGCAGGACTCAGGCACCTCCTCGCTCTGCTGCCAGACAAAACCCAGACTTAGAACCAGGGGAAATCTCAGACTCTGGAGCCTGGACCATGATTGCCCCTGAGCTCTGATAAGTTCCCACTTCAAAGGTACCTTTTTTTATCCTGAACATTGACCTTTTTCCTAATCCTAAAACCAAGGCAAGGAGCAGATGCTAGGACAGCAGCAGCACACTTGTTCACCCCAGAGCAGCTGGGGCTGCCCCTGGATCCCTGGCAGTGCCCCAGGCCAGGCTGGACATTGGGAGCTCCCGGGACAGTGGGAGGTGTCCCTGCCATGGCACGGCTGGGAATGGGTGGGATTTGGGGTCCCTCCAACCCAAACCTTGTGTGATTTAAAGTATGGCCTTGCCACTTCTACACTGTAGCATTAACAATTTATACTTATCTGAACAATCTATATTTATCTAAACCATTTATTCCCATGGGGACAATTCATCACTACAGTTTATCAGGCCAGTTGATGTTTATCAGCAAAGGGATCTGTCCAGCAGAAAGAGGTGGTTTTGCCACAAACCCAAGAGTTTGTGTGTGGGGAAATGAGAAGGTGGAAAACCCTCCAGCACAAGAACACTGTGGAAGTTTCCTTGGAAGGCTCAACCACCCCGGGAGGCTCAGCCTTTCCTCTGGTGCCACCCGGGAGAGCAGAGCAGAACCAAACCCTGGGGAGCCTTTGTGGAGCTGCAGAGCCACAGATACCCCCAGGCAGCCCAGCTTTCCCCAGAGAACCCCCAGGAACACTCACTGTTCATCTCTGCCACGAAGGGAGGTGTGAGCACCCAGGGCGAGGCCAGGGCGCCCAGCTCGGCCCTGACGCGCAGCACGACCGTCCAGCGCCGCCGCAGCTCCGGGGGGAACCTGCACTGGGGCTGGGGGCTCCCAGCACAGCCCATCCCGCTCCACTCCTCGAAAAAACCTCTGCAGGGCACAGCAAACACAGTCAGACACAGCTGGGGCTGAGCCTGACACACACAGAGTGTGCTCCTGGCTCTGACACCTGGCCTGGGGTCACTATGGTACTGGTATCCCCAAATTTCCTGTGCCTCTGTGTCCTGGGGTCACTTCATGGTGTTGGTATCCCCAAATTTCCTGTGCCTCTGTGTCCTGGGGTCACTTATGGTGTTGGTATCCCCAAATTTCCTGTGCCTCTGTGTCCTGGGGTCACTTCATGGTGTTGGTATCCCCAAATTTCCTGGTTCATGTTATGTATTAATTTCTGCACCTTTAAGATTGGCTCTGAGAGCAAAGGGGAGGAAGAAGAAGCTGCAGTTTGTGTGAAAGCAAAACATCACTCCCACACATCCTGCTCCTGGACTGTGGTGTCTGCAGCATGGACAGACAGCAGGACAGAGCTTCTCTCTGGTTTTTAGTCAGCTTTAGCTAGCTGAGGCACAGGAGTTCCCTGGACCTTTTTTTTTTCCTTTTTCCTGGATCTGTTCAAACCTGTTTTGGACTGAAAAACACCCAGCCCAACCCCAGGAACTCACACTGTGACCCACCAGGGCCTGGGCCTCGGCACTTTCCAACCCTGGAGGGATTGATAAGAACCTGAGCAGGCTGAGCTACACCACATGAAAAGGACTTTTCTTCCTGGATTCACCATTTCATCAAACAGTGAGAGGTTTTATTGCTTAATATTATTCAATTTCTGTTAAATAAACAGCTTTTTCCACTTCTCTCCAAGGAATTTTTTTTTTTTCTTTCCAAACCAGTTGTGGGGAGGGGTCATTTGAATTTTGTTTTTGGGAGATTTTCTCCCAAATTTGCCCTAAACTAGGACACTCTGAAATCCAGAACACTGAATTTCATATAACATTAAATTTATGGGTGTGTTTTCATGGAAACAACTGTTAAAGTCAGATAGAAAAGCTAAAAGTGGGAGTGTGTAGATTAGAGAGTTTTCTTAAGTCACTGGGTGAAAAAGGTAAAGTTTAAACTAGTTTAGAAAATAGAAAATAGAGTATTTAAGGTGTTGTCTCTTTTCCTTCTTCTTGATTTTCTTCTAGGAGTTTTTGAGTAGTAGTAAATGATTAGATAAAAAATGCAGTGCAGCACACAGGTCATTAAGTCATTTAAAAAAAACTAATTTGCGTGTCTATTGTTAATTAGATAAAAATAGATATAAAGATGAAACTGCCACGTGGTTCAGAGCCATTTTGTGCCATCAGAGCCAAAGTGAACCAAAAGGGAAGATAAACTTGTGCAGAAGGTCTAGAAAAACCTGCCAAGTTTTGTGATAACATCCTAATAAAGAAGAGAAACAAAATCCTAACGAGCTTTGGAGTTTTCTTCCTGTCCCAGAGAACTGAGATAATCAGAATTTAGGAGCATTCCTAAAGAGCTCAGCTCAAAAAAGACTGAACAATGCAGGTGTGAGAAGTGCAGAAGTACAAGAAGCAAAACAAAACCACCAAAAGTTACAGTGTGGACATGATTTTCTGAACCTGAGGGAATTTTCAAGCTCTCAGACGCTGGATGTTCCCAAGGGAAACCCTCAGGAGCCCATTCTCACTGGAGGATTATTTGTGGAAATAAGGAATTAATTTCCCAAAGCAAGGCACTGATGTTCTGAGGGTGTTTCCTCTACCAGTCAGGGTGAGCTGGTGGGAGAAGCTCATTAAAGGCTGACAAGACCCTGCAATAAAGGCTTTTTTTTTGCCTCACAAAAGTGATGTGGGTGATTTTTGGGAAGCCTCACTCAGTATTTCATGTCCTCTGTTGGGTTGGTGTCATCATAAAGGTAGACAGGCAGTAAGCAATGATAAACTCATTTATCCTATATATTATATATATATTATATATATATATATTATATTTATTCCTGTAGTTGTAAGTGAGAAACTGTATTGGGTAAGATGGTGAAGAGTCTAAAGGTGATGGGATTTTATGGAGAAAGAATCCAGATGTTGTAATAGAGGCAGATGTGTGTAACAGACTGTGGGGTAAAAAGCAGACACAGCAAGGCAGAGCTTAGCAAAGTTCAGAGATTCAAAATAAACCCATGTTTATTTTGAATCTTTTTTTAAATTTTAATGTAATTTAATTTAATTTTTTTTTAATTTTAAAGTTATTTCTTTTGGTCTATGGGACCAAAATGTTATATTTTGCTGTTTATATATTTATTATATTTATTATATTTATTTATTATATATTCAATATATAATTTTATATATCTTATTATATATAACTATAATATTATAATAAAATATATTCAATTTAATAAATAATAAAATATTATTACTAATAAAATATTATAAATAATGGTTAAAATAATAAATATAATATGTAATGAATGCAATAATATTATAAATATATGTTTCTTTTTATATTATATATTTATTATATTAATATATATTACCTTATTTTTATATATTTATTATATTTTGGTACATATATTTACATTATATATAAATGTAATATAATAAAATATAATTAATCTAATAATATTACTAATAAAATATTTTAAATAATGGTTAAAATAATAAATATAATATGTCATGAATGTAATAATATTATAAATATTATGTTTCTTTTTATATGATATATTTATTATATTAATATATATTTCCTTACTGTTTATAAGCTAAAATTCCTGTGCAACATCTCTGGGTATCCTCAGGAGCTGCTCTTGGGGATACATAAAAACATCTGTGATAAAAACCACTCATTGTCAGGGTTTCTGGGGTTTTTAGAGCTGATTGTTATTCTGGATTAGAACAAAAGGAGTTGGTTTGAGAGCTGCTCACTCACGTTTTGTAATGGGCTGTGTATAACACCGAGCCGTTCTCCACTACAACAGGAGACCACCTCAGCATGCTCTGGAAGTTGTAGGAATAAATCTCCACATTTTCTGGTGCTGGTAACTGGGGGGAAGTTTCTAAAGGAAGAAGAGGAATAAAAATAACTGCTGAA